TCAACGACGAGAAATCAAGCTCTACGTTTCATTCACTTTCAGAATTGAGCTGATTGAAACTCTGGATGTGGGAAGTTTGTTATGTTTTGATGTCGCTGGGCGAAGTGAACTCGTCGTTTATGTGCATTTGATTAAACTTCAAATCTTGTTGAACTGTCCCCAAAAATAAAAAAAATAAAAAAACATTCATGAAATAGTTTCTAAGGTTAATAAACATATGTCCCCTGTCTCTGTTGTGTTTAAATTTATCTTGTTGATGCATAATTCAATTATATAAAATGTATATCTTCCAATGTTCAATTTAAAATAACTAACTTTTTAATCAATTTATTATTTTTTTAAAGAAATTATTATTTTTAATATGTTTGATTCTCAGTACCCTTTTTCTCATAAAATTATTATTATTTTTTTACATATTTTATTTTTAATATGTTAAATTAGACAAAGAATTTAACTATTTTTTAATTAAAAAAAATACGAAAATTATGGTAGAAAAATGAAGAGAAAAAACGAGCCTAGTTTTAAAAAACAAAAAACAAAAAAGAATTTAAATGTTTCTTTTAGTAAAGAAAATATCAGTAGTAAAAAGAAAAATGGTGAGGAAACATGCATAAATTTTAAAAATATAAAATCGAAAATAAAATTTTGATGAAATATATTATTTTAATTACATAAAAATACCCGCCCATTTCAATATTTTATTCCCAATTTTGATTCTGGTTACTAATTCGAAGAGGATACAATGGTCATTTGAAGAAATTGCCGCAACTTCCAGGCTTCGCCCTCGTCAGTCACACGTTAACGTGCTGGAAAAGATGGAGCTAATTACCTATCAAATTCTTCTCCCAGTGCAATAATTGTGAATTATCAACTGTTTCTCACTTCGAGAACTCGATGTATTGGCAGCTACTGCGGCGGATTTCCTTTCTCCGGCGGTGATCGTCCTTCGAGTATTCTATGTCTCAGGTCAGTCATGTTCGTTCTTTCGTCCGTTCCTGGACTTTCATTTCTTACTCTAATACTTCGTTAATGTTAGCAATTGTAGGTTATGTGAATTCCCTTGTCTGGTTTTCGGTAAATCAGTTTTTGATGTGGTTCTTCTAGATCTGACTCTAATCGAGCTCGTTCTCTTCAAGAATGGAGTTTTGGGGTGGATTTAGGATCTGGGTCTTGTCCGTCTGCTTGATTTTGCAATGTGGATATGGGTTTTATCTTCCCGGGAGTTACCCTCTCAAACATATTGTCGGTGATGACTTGTCCGTGAAAGTTAATTCTATAACCTCTATCGATACCGAAATGCCGTTTAGCTATTACAGTTTGCCTTTTTGCCAACCTCAAGGAGGCATTAAGGATAGTGCTGAAAATCTTGGCGAGCTTCTAATGGGGGACCGGATTGAGAACTCGCCTTATCTGTTTAAGATGTATAAGAATCAGACAGATGTGTTTTTGTGTAAGACAGATCCATTGAGTGATGATCAATTTAAGACCTTAAAGGAGAGGATTGATGAGATGTATCAGGTGAACTTGATCCTGGACAATTTGCCTGCAATTCGGTATACCAAGAAAGAAGGCTATCATTTGCGTTGGACAGGATACCCTGTAGGAATCAACTTCAAGGGTTCCTACTTTGTCTTTAACCATTTGAAATTTAAGGTTCTTGTTCACAAATATGAGGAGACCAATGTAGCGAGCGTAATGGGAACCGGTGATGCTGCAGGTGTGATCCAAACAATCGGTAAACAGGAACTGGATGCTCCGGGATACATGGTGGTTGGATTTGAGGTTGTACCCTGCAGTCCTTTGCACAATGTGGATTCGGTTAAGAACTTAAAAATGTACGAAAAGTATCCAAATCCTATTCAATGTGACCCTGCCAGTGTATCAATGCAAATTAAAAAAGGCCAACCTATAGTGTTCACGTATGACGTTACGTTCGAAGAGAGCGACATCAAGTGGCCATCTCGATGGGATGCATATTTGAAGATGGAGGGTTCAAAAGTTCATTGGTTTTCGATCTTGAACTCTTTGATGGTGATAACGTTTCTCGCTGGTATTGTTCTTGTGATTTTCTTGAGGACCGTTCGACGAGATCTTACACGTTACGAGGAGCTTGATAAGGAGGCTCAAGCACAGATGAACGAGGAGTTATCGGGTTGGAAGCTTGTCGTGGGGGATGCTTTCCGTGCTCCAGCCAATCCTGCACTTTTGTGTATTATGGTTGGTGATGGGGTTCAGCTTCTTGGGATGGGAATTGTGACCATATTGTTTGCTGCTCTTGGGTTCATGTCCCCAGCATCCCGTGGAACACTTATTACAGGCATGCTATTTTTCTATATGATTCTCGGCGTCGCAGCCGGCTATGTTGCTGTACGTCTTTGGAGAACTATCTGTTGTGCTGACCACAGAGGATGGGCTTCAGTGTCATGGAAGGCTGCTTGTTTCTTCCCTGGTATTGCCTTTCTAATTCTCACCACGCTGAATTTTCTATTATGGGGCAGTCAAAGCACTGGAGCCATTCCATTGTCGCTCTTTGTTATTCTACTTTTGCTGTGGTTCTGTATATCAGTTCCTCTTACTCTTGTTGGTGGGTATTTTGGTGCCAAGGCACCTCATATTGAATATCCTGTTAGAACCAACCAAATCCCACGGGAAATTCCACCCCAGAAATACCCATCTTGGCTCTTAGTACTTGGCGCCGGCACTCTTCCTTTTGGCACCTTATTCATAGAACTCTTCTTCATCATGTCTAGCCTCTGGATGGGTCGTGTTTATTACGTTTTCGGGTTTCTCTTCATCGTGTTTGTGCTTCTTATTGTGGTTTGTGCTGAGGTATCTCTGGTTGTAACCTATATGCATCTTTGTGTGGAAGATTGGAAATGGTGGTGGAAGTCTTTCTTTGCTTCTGGTTCAGTTGCCATATACATCTTCTTGTACTCGATTAATTATCTTATCTTCGATCTTAAGAGCTTGAGCGGACCTGTCTCAGCCACTCTCTACCTCGGTTATTCACTCTTCATGGTTCTTGCAATCATGTTCATAACTGGAACAGTGGGATTCCTCTCGTCGTTCTGGTTCGTTCATTACTTGTTCTCTTCTGTGAAGCTGGACTGAGTAACCTCCTCATACCCAAAATCCAGCACGCATCAAGGCGGTTCGTGGCGTGTTCGAGTAGCTAAAGCAGTAAGCTTCTTGCAGTTGTTCTATCATGTGTTGGTGTCTTGTTTTTTCATTCGAATTCGATATGGATCTAGATAATGTAGCAAAAAATTTTGGTTCCTCCTGTTTCGTGGAGCTCATTGCATGAGATTTTGAACTTGAATTCATTTGCAGTTTTTGTTATAGAAAAGACTAATGTTGCAATGCCGTTGATGAAAGGGCAAAAGCCAAGGGAGAGAACCAATTCAAAACAAATAATAAGAAGCCAACAATGGGATGAAGATTTTAATGTACTGATGTTTATGATTCTGCTTTAGACCAATAAACGTCACAGATGAAACGATTCCAAGTGAATATATAAAGGAAGATGATTCAGCTTGAAGTTCTTTAATGGCGATCAAAGTTACTGTCGAAGTTTTGGAATGTTATTGCATTTACTCAGGGTTCTGTTCTAAGCTCTGCCATCTCGAATGAAGAGCATCGACCACACCATTGAAGCTGTCGAATTTAGAACTCACCAAATCAATCTTAACGCCGAGCCTCTCAGCTCCCGCCGCCGTCACCGGACCGTGCGCCGCCAACACCATTTCCGGCCACTTTTTTCTCATCATCTCCCACTTCAATCCCAAAGCCCTCAAGCTTTTTAGCAGCCCCTCCACTTCCCCAGTACTAGTAAACACAATGGCATCCAATTTCTCATCCTCCCCTCTCTCCGCTAGCTTCCTCGCGCACTCGGGTCCGACCCATCGGGTCTCGTACGCATCGACACGAACCGGAACCCACCCGCTCGCCGCGAGGTCGCGGAGGAAGTTTGGAACCACCGGAGGCTCGTTCAGCCCCACGACGCGAGGAACCGGACACAGAACCCTACGATGGTTCCCAATTCCAAGAGCCTCCACTAGACCACTCGGCGAAGCTATTTTAGGTACGACGACTCTAATCCGGCTCGCGTTAGGGCAAAATTTGGAAAAAACTCCATGATCGAGAAGCTCCGAGTCCTTACCTAGGGCTGCGATTAGAAATGTGTCGCCCTGAGGCGATAGCAAGGGCTCGTCGATCTCAGTAGCAGCGTCGAGGAGGGCTGTGATGCCAGAGCGGGAGGTGAAGGCGACAGCGGAGTAGAAATGGAGATTTGGAGGAAGGAGATGGGATTTGATGGCGAGGGGTGTTGGGTGGACGGTGACGGTGGGGCACCAGAGGGGGTCGAAGCCTTTGAGAGAGAGGAGGTTCGAGAGGCTGCCGGCATAGTTCTGAGGCGTCGTAAACGCCACCGTACGCGAAGGGGAGTTGGTGGAAATGGCGGGAGAAGGAGATGAAGCGAGTGGATTTAGGTGGCGGATTGGGCTGGGGTGGGCGGCGCCGGTGCTCATTTTTTGTTCTTTCCCGACCAATCTGAGTTTTGCCTTTTCATTGGGCTAAATTATTAAAATTACTTTCCATTTTATTTAAAAATACTTCAATAATATTCTTCATATTTCATAATGGTTAAAATATTAAAAAAAAATTGAGTTGTCTTCTTCTTCTCGATTAAGAAAACTCGTTTTCTGATCGAAACACTCCTCCAAGTATCTTCATCGTCGTCTTCTTCTCGATTAAGAAGGACTAATCGGCCTGCAACACATGTACGCCTCAGATTCACCTCCATTACTAAGAGGGCCGCCATTGAATTCCATGGAGGGACCTAACTTGGCCACTAAGTTTAAAGTGACTGTGTATAGACTTTCTGCCTTTTGGGTCATGGCTTTTCGCCTTCTTCCACAACTGGGGTCCCACTCCTTGTACGGATATTCGTTCGTGTTCCCATTGACGGACCAAGATCAAGACATTATTCGCTCAAGGTACATGTAGCGTTGTGGTTGTCATTTTTCATTCTCCTCCTGCTGTGCTCTGTTCATTTCAGTATCTTACAAACCTTACTCTGCTCTGCGATATCTTCTTTTATCTGGTGTTGTATTTCTATTGTGATGGATTTAGGGGGAACTCCATGTGATGCAATTCTGCCCTCCAATGCTCCAATCCCACTGGAAGATGGTGCTCTCAATGACCATCTCTTGCCCATGAGAGACAGTGCAAATGGAGAGGAATTAGAGCTTGACTCCTCTGATTCTGACAGTTCCGAAGGTTCACTTGATAATTCCCTGATTTTAATTTTGTTTTTATGGCTCTTGGTTCATATTTGTAACCATGGTTGCAGATGAGACTTCACGACAAGAACTGTATGAGATGTTGCTTCCAGCTGCTCTGAAAGAGTCTTGGACTAGCTCGGGTCATGTGATTCTTAACTGTTACCATTTTAAATTTGCTCCTCATCCTAGAGATAGGAGCTACAAAGAATTTGGTTTGTTTGTGAAGGCACCACTTCCCCAAGAGGCTGAGAGAATGAACGTTGAGCTTCATCTTGAACGTGGTAGATCTGTAATGGTAAATTTGGTGCCATCAGGGGTCGTTAAGCTTTTGGAGGATGAGGTAAATGGTTTATCTACTGACTCTGGACTAAATTATTCTCTTATAAATTTTAAACACACCCAATATATCTATGCTTTTCAGATAACCCAGGCAGAGAGTTTTCAGGAGATGTTTCTTAAGGTCATTTTAGACAGATCAGAATTTGAACAGGACTACATACCTTTGAGGAATTATGTGTCTAGATCTATTTCATCACCATCTTACTTGTTGCTTCCTGTGATTTGTCATGATAATGAGGGATCGGTATCTATAGATTGGGAAGTTATTAGAAGATGTTTATCCTCCCAAATTTTCCAGAATCATGCATGCTCTGTTATCAACGAAAGTTCTTCCTCGGATACCCATCTGATACTTTATGATGGCCGTAGAAGGTCGAGTGATATCGAGAATAGTTTAGTGTATGTCCCATACAATCGTAAATTCTTTTTTGTCACTGACATTGTGAATGGGGAGAATGGATACAGTCCGTTCAAGAACTCAGGCTCCTTGAGTCATCTCGAGCATTTAGCGAGGTAGGTTTCTAATTTTCTGGTGTTCAATTTATCTAATTCTTCTATAGTCTATATTACATTTATAAAGTTTTTGTATAAATGTTGTGATCAGGTTTGGCACTCATCTTAAATACCCTGAGCAGCCTCTTCTTTGCGCAAAACAGCTATTCAATTTGAAAAACTGGCTACACAATAGAAAGCAGAAAGAATCTGGTAATTTCCTAGTTCTTTTGCTACTTAGTCTAGTTATTTAGTTTAAGTTTGCTGCATCCAATGTCTGGATATGGCTATTTGACGAGTCGGATCGAGTTTTCGTTTATGTAATTGTTTCGATATCTTTTGTTACATTGCTAAGTACTCGTTATTAAAGATTTCCTTTTGTCGTTCTGTTAAATGATATCTTGATACAGAAGCACGTCATCTGGAAGAACATACTACTAAGTTGCCTCCCGAGCTTTGTCAATTGAAGATAACAGGCTTTTCAAAAGATATTGGAAGCTCCATATCGTTGTTGCCATCAATTATGCATCGTCTAGAGAACTTGCTTGTTGCTATTGAATTGAAGTCTATGTTAACGGCTGCTTTTCCAGCGGCAGCTGAGGTTACTGCCAACAGAGTGGGTGCTTTGTCTTGCACTTTTAATTTCTATTAACATTTTGGTTCTTTGCATGCCTTTAACAGCTTTGAGTTTTCATATTAGATTCTTGAAGCACTCACCACTGAGGAGTGCAAGGAATGCATTTCCCTGGAAAGGCTCGAAACACTCGGTGACGCTTTCCTTAAGTTTGCAGTAGGAAGACGCCTTTTTCTTGCCCACGATAAGTTTAATGAAGGAAAACTTACGAAAAAACGTTCTCATTTGGTGAAAAATATTAATTTGCTCAAGCTAGCAACTAAAAAGAATTTACAGGTATACATACGTGACCAGCCATTCAAACCTAGTGAATTTTATCCACTCGGTCGTCCTTGTCCAAGAATTTGCAACGAGGAAACTAGAAAAGATATCCATTCTCATGATAATGCAGCAAGTGAAGCCAAGTGCAGCAAAGGCCACCACTGGCTACATCTGTACATAATCAGTGATGTTGTTGAAGCTTTGGTTGGAGCATTCCTAGTTGACAGTGGCTTTAAAGCTGCAATTGCATTTCTCAAATGGATCGGCATAACAGTAGAATTTGAAGCTTCACAAGTTACCGATGCTCTCATGGCAAGCAATGCTTGCATTCTACTTGCAGATAGTATAAACATTTCTGAACTTGAAAATTCATTAGGCCATCAATTTCTCCATAAAAGTCTGCTACTGCAGGCACTCGTACATCCTTCTTACCGCAAGCATGGAGGAGGTTCTTACCAGGTATGGACTTTATAATCTGCATTTCTACTCAACAAATTCTTGTGTTTCTACTTAACATTGCCACTTCTATTTATCTTTGCTGTGGGTTTGGCCAGAGATTAGAGTTTCTTGGAGATTCGGTCCTGGATTACTTGATCACATCATATCTATATTCAGCGTATCCTAAGCTGAATCCGGGTCTATTGACAGATTTGAGATCAGTGTTTGTGATGAATGAGGCTTTGGCTAATGTTGCAGTAGATAGATTGTTCTACAAGTTTCTGATTTGTGATTCAACTAGCCTTCAACGTAATATAGAAAGTTATGCAAACTTCATCCAAGCACCTCCTTCTGAAAGGGCCTCACTTGAGCAGCTGAGATTTCCAAGGGTATTCGTTTCGCATTGAATGCATAATATTTGTAAACAATACAAGGACAATCATGTGGAGTCTTCTATTGTTTGTTCACTAATTTCAATGCTGCATCTTACATTGCAGGTGCTGGGAGACATGGTGGAATCTATTGTTGGGGCCGTTCTGGTTGATACAGGGTTTGACATGAACTATGTTTGGAACATAATGTTATCTTTTCTGGATACTATTATGAGCTATTCAGGCTTCCAACTTAGTCCTATTCGGGACATAAAAGAATTTTGTCAAAGTTATGGCTGGAAGCTTCAGTTCCATGTATCAGAAGAGCCAAAATCTTATTCAGTTGAAGCGGAGGTGAAAGGAAACAACTTTCATGCCACTGCTTCTGCAGTCAACCGTAGTAAGAAACACGCCGAGAAAATTGCTGCCAATCTTATACTCAACAAGTTGAAGGTATATGAGTATAAACATGCTTCTATTGTTCTTTTATGCCAAAGAATCATGTGCATTCTTTTTCTTTACAATATGCAGAGCATTGAATATCATTGAAGTTTGCAACCATCTGCATTGTTTTACTACAAGTCGTTTTAGCAAATTTCTTAACATGTTGCTGCAGGAAAAAGGATTCATACCTAAGGTCAATTCATTGGAGGAAATTTTAAGGTCAAGCAGTAAGATGGAACCAAAATTGATTGGATATGATGAAGCACCCTTGGACACTATCAATCTTGGACCAGAATTTTCTGGTGCAGACATAGATCCTTGCCGTGAAGTTGGTAATTCTCATTCAGTTCGCATTACACGGATAAGCGGAACACCGGTGTCTTCATCAGGAGCAGCAGAAGATCTGAAGCCTAGCATGGCCTTTGGTGGTCATGATAGTTCCACAGACTTGCAGTCATCATCAGGTTGGTTCTTGAAGTCATCATCAGGTTGGTTCTTGAAGGGTTACAATTACATTTCAAGTTATTTTCTAATGCATAGTGGTCTTTTTAGGTCGGTCGGGTAAAACAACAGCCATATCACGTCTGTATGAAACCTGTGCTGCAAACCATTGGAATGACCCTTCATTTGATTGCATGGATGAGGAAGGACCAAGCCATTTAAAGATGCAAGTCCTTGATGAGTTAACACTATTACACTAGCCACTCTTAAAAGTAGGAAGTCTTATTCTGATTCAATCTTTCTGCAGGTTTACTTATAAGGTTGTATTAAAGATAGAAGAAGCCCCTGCTAGGACCTTGGAATTCATTGGAGCACCTCAGTTGAGAAAGAAGGCTGCGGCGGAGCATGCAGCTGAAGCAGCTCTTTGGTACTTGGAAAAGGAAGGGTACTTGCCGCTTGCCTCACACAGGTTGATACAATAATTACTGATAATGTGTAAGTATAACCATGATACATTCCCTTAGCATTAAATGAGTTTCAAATTTTTCATTACTTTAGAACTTCAGTTGATAATACATTCCACCCCACAATACCTAGAAAAAAGAATTGGAAGTACAAAAGAGGGAAGAAAAAAGAAACAGAATATACATATTTTCCCCTATTTTTTTCATTTTAAATGTATTTCCTTCTTCGTTTTTTCGTTGATAGTCAGCCCATTGTTGTCTCCTCCATCGCAGGTTAAACAGTGTAGTGTTGTTGGATAGTCTCAATGTCCAACCCCTTCAACTTCACCACTGATTCCACATGGCCCTTTAGAGTGTGCAGTTCCCTCAGCCTGCACCATTCAACATTGAACCAATTCATAAAATTTGATTCTTGATTTTCATGACAGAACTTTTTCTGGGCAATGATTTATTTTTTAATTTACCTTGCAATTTCAGCTCTTTTCTTGGCTTGCTCAGCAATCTCTGAATGATCCTCGTGGCTGCTACTCTCATGAAATATGGTTTCTGGTGGCTGCAGGCCGTGCATCGTCCGTTGTTCTGTTGCCCATTGTGCTTCTCTTTCGCCTATTCCGTAATCCTTCTTGGTTGTAAAGGCTGTCTACGTAGTATAATGGCCGAGAAAATTTATTAGCATGAGATGCGATAAGTGAATGACATCACAAAAGTTCGAGCACAGACCTTATTGTCGAGTACGTTGTCCCAGGCCTTGCCGCTGAGGGCGTATCGGATTGTGAATTTGAGAATATCAAGAGGGAAGTAAGTAACAATACTGTATACCCAGATGGCTCCTGCCCATCCCCAACCAATGCCTTTAATCCTTGCAAAGTCCCATTCAGCATATACCGCAATTAGAGAGGCAACCTGAAGTGTAGCAGAATCAAGAATCAGGAGATGTGTGAAATTTTGAAAAGGTTATTAGAAAGTAAGTACAAGAAGGAATGTTCCTACCAACTGTGCGGCAATGAAGGCAATAATTAGCAAGTAACCAGGGCATTCAACAAAGGACCAGCTTCTTGACCTTGTGACAAAGATGAGGGCTTGACTGATGATGCTCACTTGAAGATAGAGAGCAGAGTTGATCTCAGCAATACCTTTGAGGGGCTTCACGCCAAATGTGTTCTGCTTATAATGTTGAGATGTTAGTATACAATGTCATGTTCTTTGCATTTAGGAAGGGAGCTTGATGTTGTTTTCTCACCGGGAAGAAGTTGGTTTCAATGGCGAGCCAGAAGAAAACGACGCTCATGATGGCCATGTATGTTCCAAGGACAACACCAGTAGCAAAGATTTCTTTGAGTTTCCATGAGTCTGGCACAGGTGATGGCTTGACCCTGTCCTTTGAAATGGTCATGATGGTTCCATCGTTAAGAATGGCAATGATCAAGACCATAAAAGGCGAGAAATCAAACTTCCAAATGAGAGCAACAAGCATGAATCCCAACACAATACGGATTGTAATGGAAACTGCATAGATGGTGTAGTTCTTCATTCTTTGAAAGATGGCTCTGCTGGTTAGTACAGCACTCACAATCACACTTAGCCCTGGCTCTGTCAAGACAATGTCTGATGCACTTCTTGCTGCATCGGTTGCGTCGGCCACAGCAATACCAATGTCGGCTCTCTTGAGTGCAGGAGCATCATTGACACCATCTCCTGTCATGCCACAAATATGATTCCTCTCCTGAAGTTTCTTAACGATTTCGTACTTATGTTCTGCAACCGAAAAATGACGAGTTTAGTTCAGCGAGGAAGGCAGATGGTTTCATATATCTCATTGCGGTTGAAAGAACAATGTGATTACCAGGGAAGACACCAGCAAACCCATCAGCCATCTCAATCAGTTCATCCACAGGAATGGAAGCAATAGACTCATCCTTGGATTGGCCAAGCAAAGACGATGATGGATACATGTTGGTGCCCATACCGAGCCTTCGACCAGTTTCTTTTCCTATTGCAAGTTGGTCACCGGTGATCATCTTAACATTAACACCAAGTTCGAGAGCTCGACGGATGGTTTCTGCACTATCATGCCTTGGAGGATCAAATAGGGGCAAGAGACCAACAAATTCCCAAGGTTCTCCAGCACTCTCTTTGTCCTTATCTTGAACAGTCTATAAATGAGAGAAAAAAAGGTTCAAGATTGATAAGAAAGCTTGTTCATACATGAATCCATTTCAGTATATTCACACATATTCACCTGTCGACCAACTGCCAAGGAACGTAGACCACGATTAGCATAGTTATCGATAACGGCATGAGCTTTCTCTCTTATTTCTCCTCTAAGCTCACAAAGGTCAATTATCTAGTGCCAAAATGACAGAGTTAGGCATATCAACCAAATGTGATTCAAGGTAAGTGACATCGACTATCAGAAAACGACACTACCTGTTCAGGAGCACCCTTGCTGCTTCTGTGCCAGTTACCGTCTTTGTCAATGTAGGTAATAGCGGTACGCTTATCGACTGGATTGAAAGGCAAGAAATGTACCTCAGTTATTCCTGCCCTTGCCTTGAGAGCCAAAGATGAAGCATGAGAAATAAAATACACCTAAAAAAGTTCAGTAAAAGAAGCCATGAACATAATAAAGCTGAGTACCAAACCTCTTTGGGGTCAGCCAACATTCCAACAATGCAGGCATCAATGGCATCTTGATTTTCAACTCTGGAAGCTCTTGCAGCATACAACATAACACCATCCTCGTTCATGCCTGATACAAACACCTGCAGTCATGAAGGCACCATGATGAGCCAATGAGCAAAAATTCTTTTCATTGAATTGCAACTGTGTGAGCTTGACCTCAATCAGGGACTTGTCCACCGTGAGCTTGTTGAGGGTGAGAGTTCCTGTCTTGTCACTGCACAGGACATCCATCCCAGCCATCTCTTCAATTGCTGTCATTCTCTTCGTAATGGCACCTTGCTGCGAAAGCCGATGCGATCCGATGGCCATGGTTACCGACAGAACGGTTGGCATAGCAATGGGAATACCTCCAATGAGAAGCACCAACAAGTTGTCAATTCCTTCTCTGTATGGCCTCTTCTGGATTGGATACATTACTAAGATCTCGATGACCATTCCCACCGCTATCGAGCATATACAGAAGTTTCCAATGGCTGTCAACACCTGATGAACCATAAACCAACGTTAGAACCTCAAATCTTCAAAGGAACCCCAGGAACTTGGTTATGCAGGAACTGAAGCTTTCTTTTACCTTTTGGAAATGACCAACTTGGTTGGTGCTGTCCACGAGATGAGCTGCCTTTCCAAAGAAGGTATGCACACCAGTGGCAATGACAACAGCTTCAATCTCACCTTGCTTACAAGTTGACCCAGAGAACACTTCATCCCCAGGATACTTGGTGACAGGCAAAGATTCACCAGTAAGAGCAGACTGATCAATCTTTAAAGGGTCGCCATCGAGGAGACGTGCGTCGGCCGGGATAATATCTCCCAATTTGACACTAATCACATCTCCTGGAACCAGAATCGCTGCCTCCTCTTCTTTCCACTTCCCATCTCTTAGAACCTACACAATTTGAAAGCACGAAAGTGTCAACAGTTCGAGTTCCTATCTAGCGTTAAATCAAGGATGGGTTACCTTAGTTTTAGGGGCAAGACCAGCCATGAGAGCAGCAGCTGCATTACCAGCATTGTTCTCTTCAATGAAGCTGATGGTAGAATTAATGATCAACAAGACAACGATACCAACAAAGTCTTGCCAATCTGGTGGTCTCCCTCCTCCATTGGCCAGGACGATGGCCATGATTGCCGCACATTCCATGACCCATGACAGAGGATTCCACATGAATCCCAAGAACTTCAAAAACTTGCTCTCTTGCTTCTCTTCAAGCTTGTTAGGCCCAAAAATTTGGAGTCTTTTTTCTCCTCCTGCTGTACTCAATCCTTCCTTCGTGCATTTCAACTGATCAAAAACTTCCTCCACAGGAATCCGTTCCTGAAACAACAAAAAACCCAGATTCAAAAACAAGAAAAATATGAGAGAAAACGAAGAAAAGATTGTTACTTACTAGATCAACGTTCTCGTTCTTAACATCTTCCAATGATATATCCCCCATTGCTGACAGAATACAACAAAACGAAGAAGAAAAATCTCCAACAACACTTGAATTCTTCCTTCTCCCTCCTTAGTTTCCTCCCTCTGTTATTGATATTTTAGCCCAAACAAAAAGAGGGAAGATCAAAAAAGGAAGGGGAAAGGAAGCTATTTCATGCAGATGGAGATGCCAACATCTTGGGACTCAAAAAGGTTGCTTCTTTTTATAGGAAAATGGAGAAGGGGAGGGAATTGATCGAAGAATCCCCTGTTTCGCTACACCACCTCATCCCTGCGCACCTGGTTACAACCGCTTGCTTACATCCAGAGTTCGTTAATCCCTTCTGTGGCTTCCCTCACCCCACGGGCTGTTCCTCTAACTGGTTTATTATGTGGCCGATGTCCATGCCGACCCTTTTCTTCATGCTCCTCCTGTATTTGCATGCCTGTATTTTTTGTCTTTTTTTTTTTTTTAATATCTGTTCACAAAAATAAACTTACGAATTTTAAATTCTTATCAAATTAGTAATTTTAGTTCAAAAAACTTTCTTTTATGTAAAAAATCTAATCTTCAGATGGATTCATATCTAAAACATACAAAAATTTTAGAAAAATTCAGAATTAATTTTACTATTATTGAAATTTTTTATTTTATGTTGAATAGATAATTTAAGATCATAATCATTTTTAAAAAAATGAAACCTAAGTCAATGTGTAAGCACATTATGATCTTCAATTTGTAAGCACATACAAAAGACTTTGTGTAGCAGTTTATCCTTGGGAGAGTTATAGATAAATCTGAGTTAGGCGTTATGGCATCTCCTAATCGAAACACAGCCCAACATGCTTACGGTACTGACACCCTTTCTTGACTCTCTTTCTGTTTTGGATACCCACAAACATTTCTCTTCTAATCTTCGTTTCATAATTTCTGGGTGCTTAAAAGATTCAATCTTTATTGTCTACTTACTCTTCTTTCATGATCTTGGCCAAAGTGGCACCAGAAGCAAGCTCTCCGGCGTGGCCTACGCCGTCGCCGAGAGATATACCTATTACAATACCAAGTTCATCTTCGTCCCCTGTCGCTGCTGCCTTGTGGGCTCAACTCAGACGGATCGATCGTCTCTTTGATTTATTCTCCGGCTATAACCATGTCATGGAGTACGTTTATTTCTTTCAATTTCTTAATAATTTTGTTCTTCATATCCAATTTACTTTACTTGCATAATCAAAATATTTAAATTTTGATGAGATGAATGTAAAGTTTTAATTTTTTTTTTTAATAATTTTTGTGACATCCCGCGTTAATTCGGGAGGGTAACGAGTGCCAACGAGAACGCTCGCCCTGAATGAAATGGATTGTGAGATCCGGTTGGAGAGGGGAACAAAACATTTTTAAAAGGACGTGCAACCTTAACCTTAAGGAAAACTTAAAAGGAATAGTCTACAAATGACAATATTATTGATATTAATATGTGTGATTATGAATTAATTTACGTTTATTGTTGAGCAGCCCACATGGAATTGAGAAACTTTGCACACATTTGGAAATGAATCATTTAGATGTGAAGATATTAATGTTGGCATGGTAATTACAAAATGATTATTATTAAACTAGGGTTAAGATGTGTTACTTTAGTCAAAATTAACAACGTGGGTTGGTTGCATTATTATTGCATGTATCAGGAAAATGAAGGCAAAAAAGCAAGGCTACTTTCATCGGGTAAGAACAAGGCTCATGGACTCTCTCTCTATATATATCAATGGCGTTGAGAGTTTGAGGTTAATATCAATGGCGTTTGTTCCATGGCCAGGATGAGTGGCGCCGTGGCCTAAGGAAACTCAAAGTTGACAACATGGAGAAGCTCAAGAATGCACTTTTCTATCTCGAGATTGAGGTTCAAATTTTGTTTTTCGTCTTTGAAAATTAAGCTTATAAACATGCAAATCTCTTAATCGTTATATCGTTACGTGTTTTTCATAACCATGATCAAATTAAGGCAAGAATTCCACCCCACTTTGAAGACTTCTTTGCATATTCGTTCAAATATAACCTCATTGGTAAGCATTCATACGATCTTGATTGATCTATTGAGATTATTCATCAACTAATTAAGGGATCGATCATGGGTTTATAAGTAAGAAACACTATCTTCATTGGTACGAGACATTTTGAGAAAACAAAAAGTAAAGTCACGAGAGCTGATGCTCAAAATTGATATAGATAGTAATTTAGTAATTTCTTTGGTTGAAGAGGAGAGGCAGACAAGCTTAGACGTGGAATTTCTGTGCAAGTTGCTCGAGATCGTGATGGGTCCTCTTTTTCGTCCCCAAGTTCAGCTACTAATCGAGTTTCTGAAAGTAAAGTAATTTAATTTAAAACCCATTTCAAATAATTTCGTTTTTAAGTTTGGATGAATATCATAAACTAAAGCATTTGGTTTTTGCAGACCCAAACGATGTATAGAGTGCTGATCATGGATCAATGGATGAATATGTTCTACTTTTGCAACCAGGTACCCTTAATCTTTGTTTAATCATTAATTAAGTCATTAATTGAATCCTTAATCTTTGTTATAGATATCTTAATTGATTACTATTTTGATGGATTGGCAGATAAAATTTCCAGGTCTTGATAACTACGATCCAAACGATGCCTGGCCGGTGATTATTGATTCCTTCGTTGAGTGGTTGAAAAGAAAGCAAGGTGAAGAAGGCACCCACCCAAGTTCCCGTCGCTAACCATCCTCATATTCAATCACATGCATCGTGTTTTTTTAGCATTTGGTTCGAGTAAATATGAACATACCTAGTCGATTAAGATACCATTTTCTTTCTTGAATCGTAGAGATACAACTAAATAATTTGATCTTAGATCGTAAAGAAAAGAAGAAAATGTGAGACAAAAGAAAAAGATGGAACCTTTCAAAGTCGTGATATGCTTTGCTTTGTTGTGCTTGACTACAGAAGATGTAATGGATTTTAAAGGAAGTGGTTGAGACACTTGTCTCGGAATGCTCACTGACTGTGACATGCATGTGCCACAGGATAGCGAGCTACTAGGGCCACTAGGCTTAAGGGTGATAGAGAGCCAACACCATGCCTCCCTTATAATACATTTGAGGCATTTATCCTTCTCGAGTAAACGTCTTTTTGACGAACGGACATACGGTCATCTTTCATATCGACGGACTTAATTCTCAAGTCGCATGTCGAAACTCATATCGAAACCCTGACTTTTGGGATTATGGTCTAGGGCTCTACCCAATCCTCTTCGAACTTATCTTCGACAGTCATGTCACCTCATTCTCTTGAACTTTACATATGCCTCAACTTATCCTTAATGCACACTCTAGTTGTGTTAGATGATGCACCGTTCTCTTCGGTCACATTGCGATACTTCTCAATCTTGGCTTAAACACGGTTTGTTGGGCACCACTTGAGGGTCATGTGGGGATCACAACCTACTTTTTCTCTCTGTGAGGTTTGCACGATGGGGACTTCGTGGATGTCTTGTTTGCTCTCAATTAGATACCACCGATTGGAAACTTTCCACGACAACTAACTTTACTTTCATTAAATATATATATATATATATATAACTAATCTCTCTCTCTAATCTCAAATTAATTAAATAATAATGTATGTCTAGTATTTATATTTATTTATTTTGCAGCCTCAAACCACGTGGGTTTATCGCCATTGAGATGTATACACTCTATTTTTTTTAATTCAAAAATAAATAGTATTGTGAATTTAATAATTTTGAGAGAAATTTATTAAATTAATAATACAAAAAAAAAAAAAAACAGCTTCTAGAAGCTATTTATTTGAAACTTTCCATCGCTGAATCTCAACGGCGGTCATCAACCCATGCGTTTGAAGCTGCAAGAACAAGAACAGATATTACAAGTCATTAGTTAATTATAAAAAATTAAAAAGAAAAAAAAAAAAGGAAAAACAGAGATTAATTAAAAAAATGGAACTAACCATGAGTGGAAATTTCCCAATCGGCACTATCATAACTGAGAGCCCAAAAGAAGTAGCCACGGAGGCCGATCGCCTGAGCAAACTCCACCTTCGTCGTTGTCGACTGCACGCTGTCGTACCCGACCCACGAAGACTCCACATACGAGTACGCCGATACGGTTCTTATGTCGTATACCACTGTCGCCGCCGTCCTTTTGTTGAATTCTTGCACCTATCCATTCATATCAAGAAAACAATTCAATTTTTCAATTTTGATTTGAGAATTTAGTGGTGGCTTAACATACTTGAACATAGGTTAGGATCCCGTTGTCACCCGGACCGACAGCCGTGGCGGGGGCTCCGACGCCGTGCACATTAGGATCCTTGAGGGTCCAAGACTTGCCATACAGAGGAATACCCATAACCATCTTGTTCCGAGGCACACCGGCGGAGATCCATGAACGGAGGCCGTAATGGGAGCTCAAATTCGTATGTGGGTCAAACAGGGCAGCGTGGGCTCCGGTAGCGGACGTGTCCCACGACCCGTGGTAATCGAAGCACATTACGTTGATCCAATCAAGGCTTTTCGAAATCGCTTCCGCCGGGAATGATCGCCGCTCACCATAAGTGCGAAACTCCGACGCGTAGTACACAGCGGCGGTGAGGAGAAGTGGGGGTCGTGACGTTGTCTTGGCTTCCCTGTCAATTGTCTTCCGCCATTGAATTATTAAGTCGGCGAAATATTTCATCTCCGTCGTGTCTTTAGGAAATTCCCAATCGAGATCGACGCCGTGAAATCCAAATTTCCTCGCCGTCTTAATACTGGAATCGATGAAAATCTGACGAGACGAGGCATCGGAAGCGATACGAGCAAACAGGTCACTGTCACTACCACCGCCACCGATCGAAAACAGAGTCTTCACCGACGGATTCTTCCGCGTCAGAGAAGTTGTAAACTGGGAAAGCGCCGCCGCCGTAGTGTCCGGATACTCAAAAGCAAAAGAACGGTTATCCGGCATGAGAAAGGCAAAATAGACATGGGTAAACAGAGCAGTGTCAATGGCGGAAGGTGGGAATGTTTCTAAAACCCAAGACGGCCAATAAGCAGCCTTGACGGGCGGTAGCATCGGAGCAGCTCCGGCAGTAATTGAGGAGGAGAAAATCAGAGGAAAAAGAAGAAAACAGAGAAGAAATTTGAGAAGCGCCATGGATTTTGGGGATTCGTGTTGGGAAATGAAATGGGAAGGATTTGGGTTTTATAAAAATTAATAATCAATGGTGGTCTCTGAACATTTGTGAATACAAAATTTGATGGGTCTCTGTATGTCCACTATCAACGATGCCAATGGAGAGGGCAAAAAAATAAAATAATTATTGGTCGACTCTGTTCTTGTTGACCAATATCTTCAATGTTTGTGCGGGTCCACTCCCATTGCCACGTGTCATATATTATTCCATGTGGACCAGTCAGCGACTTGAACGCTAAAAGTCTATGAACTTGTATAATATTCAAGGTAATCACCAATTTCCCACCCAAATCTTGCTTAAACCATTCAAAGATTTTCTAGAAAAACAATGAGACCTAGCATCACAACTACACAATAACACCCCCCCAAAGTTGACTTTCAATTCAATAAATATGATATTAATCGACTTATATCGGAGTATATAAATAAATAAGAGATACTATGTTTATTGGTATAAACCTTAAAATAAAGCAAGAAGACTTATGTTCAAAGTGGATAATATTCTATTAATGCACTATTCGTATCGTGTTTTATTTTATTCTTTTTATTTTAATTATTTATATTTAATCAATGTATTTTGGATAGGATAATGATTTTGGGTGGGCGCATTAAAAATAATTTATGCCACTTGATTAATCTCTTTGTTTTTCTTCGTTCAAAAGTTTGACTTTTCCTCTTCAAATTACTTCATGGTACAACTATATTATAAAATCATTTGACTAATCGAATGCCTTTGGTTTGGTCTCATAAGCTACTTAAATTCAATGTTTTAATTACGTACGTCGAGCTTTTTGGTATGTTAATAGTGATCTATTTGCGTGAGTAAACATTGGATAAAACATAACATAAAATTATTATTTTTTATAATTTTGAATGAGTGAATAAGATTATAAGGTGCACTAACTCTCTTTGTTTGGAACACACAAACACGGTTAGGTTCAATTGTTCGCTTTAAATAGAAACTCTTATGATTTTGTTTTTAGTTTCTTCTTGAAGCTCTTTTGACCAACGGTCAATAAACTCGGCCAAGACCAAGACCCAACCGCTCTTGTCAAGATTATGTGTTAGACTTACGGATCTTACTCATTGTGGGCTCACAGCCAAATTGACTATTTTACCCTTAACAATCCAATTCAAGTAATACTAGTAAACATGAAAATATATTACCAAACTATTTATTGATATATTTTATTTGAGAGATTTCAACGACATTTTAAAATACTTTTATTGCTTAATAATTTATTTTATCTAATTTATTGGAACATGATATCCATAAATTAGGAAGTGATCTGTTAAGTCCACCTCATCTTCCAATTATCCGGGCTAAGTGGTTGAAGCTGCATTATGAACAAAAAAAAAAAAAAAAATTAAAAATTAAAAATAATAATAAATAAAGTTTTTAAGGAAAATCATGTTAAAATTAAAGCATAAATGATGTACCTGTTCGAGATAGAGTGAAGCTATCATCATCAGCTGCAATTTGCCAAGCAAAATAACCCCACAATCCATTCGCATTAGCGTAAGAAACCTTCGCTGCTATGCTCTGTTTATCATCATACCCAATCCATGTCGTTCCAGAGTACACATAATTCGAAACAACCGTCGCGTTATACACCGGAGTCGCTCTGTTCGTCGCTATAAACGTTTTTATATCCCTGTAAGTTATTGCTCCGCCGCTAATTCCCGCTCCCGTCGCCGCCCCGTTCGCTGGAGCATAGAACCCATTCTTGTTCTGATCCACCAGACGCCATGCCCACCCGTAAAATGGAAACCCAATTGCTATTTTATTTGCCGGCATACCCGATTGAATCCACTCCCTTATACCCGCGTTACCGTTTACCTGCCCGCCCGACCCGAACAGAGCAGCCGGTGGCGCCGTAGAGCTCGCCGACCAACCAGGGCCGTAGAAATCGTAGGACATGACGTTGATCCAGTCCAAAGAATTGGATATACTCGAAACGGGTAGTGGGGTTCCGTAATAATTAGAGGACCGGAAAACCGCGGCGGAGAGAAGCAGCCGGGGCTTGCCGGAGGATACGGATTCTTTAACCACGGCGGCGCGCCATTCGGTGAGGAGAGTGCCAAACGAGTTCATTTCGGTTGGGGTTGATGGGTACTCCCAATCGAGATCAAGGCCGTCGAAACCGTTGTTTCGAGCCAGAGTAATCGAGGAATCGATGAAGGATTTGCGGGAACCGGATTGACTAGCCATTGAAGCGAAATTGGTGGGGTTGGAGCTACCGCCGCCGATGGACAACATCGTTTTGACATTGGGGTTTTTTTGACGAACGGTTTGTGTAAAGGTTGAGAATTTGGCGGCGTTTGAAGACGAAATTGTGACTTGGTTTGTGTTCGTATTGAGATCAGCAAAGGCACAGAAAATGTGGGTGAAAAGAGCGGAATTTATGTTGGCCACCGGAAATTCGGAGCCGGAAAACCAGTAAACGCCCTTCCTTCGGGTCTGCCCCGCGGAGGAGTGGAGGTGGAGAAGAAGAAGAAGAAAGACAACAGAAGAGAGGAATGATTTGGTTGAGGAAGCCATTGATGAAGTGCATGAAAGTGGAGAGTTCTGTTCTTGGTTTTATAGAAGATTATTAACTAAATATTTTATATTTCTATTAATTACCTTGAATTATTTTATTTTATTTTATTTTTACTTATTTAGAATAGTCAAGCATCATTTATAACTATGATAGGGAATTAAGATGTTTGAATCTTCAAATGCCTTCATTTTAAAATCTCTGACTTTTCTTAGATATCTATAACTATTTAATAATTATTTATATTATTAGTTTAATATGATTTGGAGTTTATATAACATTTTTCTTCAATTATTTAATTTTGGGTTTTTATTTATTTAACATAGTTAATTAGGTTTTAGGTTCTATGTTTGAGATAAGGGGACGTGGCATCATAAGCACCCAACATTTGTCATCCTCTGTTCCACTATTTCATTAATGTGCAAAGTTTTAGTAGCCCACGCCAATTCGAATTTAATTATAGGCTAAAATTCATACAAATATATTTTGTATTTTACCTTTAAAAAAAAAAAAATATATTTTAGCCGTCTAATTTTGAATGAAAATTGAAGGGTAATGATATGAACCAAAAGACACCAATCATACAATATGCTTCCCTGAAGATGTGAAAAAAATATTGTTAAAATTATCAAAAGATATTTCAATTCATGCCACATGAAGTTTCATGTTATAAATTATGGGTAGTATTTCATTAATGTATTTTAAGACTTTTTATTTACTTCATGATACAGTTACATAATGATTAATTATGGCCATTAAGTACGAAGGTTACAACTCTTGGAATGTCTTTGGTAGTTTCATTTTGAGGCTATATAAAGCCATGTAGGTTGTATTGGTAAGAGACTTGGAAAATACAGTAAAAGAAGCAGTTGTGCTTTTCTTTAGCCAATGAATAAGTTTCTTTGCAATTCTGTATAGTTTAGGTTGCATGTTGAATCATTCAAGCTCAACATTATCAATCTTGGTTGTGGAGTGATTCGAATCTCAATCAAGTGTTCTTGCCTTGAGATATTTGATCAACAAGAATCATTCAAGCTAGACATGATCGATATTGCTTGTGGAGTGATTCGAATCTCAAACAATGTTGTTGCTAACAAGATAATCTGAATCTTAAGATAATCTGAATCTTAAGATAATCTGAATCTTAAGATAATCTGAATCTTAAGATAATCTGAATCTTACTCCCCTTGTAGTGATTCCTTATGTTATGATATGAGGTAAGATATTAACGTTATTTTAAATTTGGTAGGAATGATTTCATGAAATATATAATATTTTTAAGGAAGTTTTAAAATATTTTTTAATTAAAGAAAAAGTATAATTAAGGAAGAAAATAAATTATATGTTTGAACCCATTATTTGTATTTTGTAATGTGAAAATACATTTAAAAAGGAAAAAAAGAAAAAGAAATGGAGCAGTTCAATTGGCCATGCAGCCAATGCCATATCTAGTGTTAGGAAAAACCAAGAAAAGGCCACTACAAATGGTCCCCACCATCAAAGGAAAGCTCTCCATGACCTCCTCCATGTCCGCCGCGTGTCCAGGAAACAAACAATTGGTGACTCTATGGTCAGATAAGGCGATCGCCATGAAAACCATGACCGACATAAGGGCGTGAACAAAATCAGTGAACCCAACTTTGAACCTCTCGTCTTTGGGCACCTCCACCTCCGCCAGCCCTGACTTGAAAACCGCCAGCCCTCTCGGCGTCACCATCCCGTAGTACACTTTCCCGTCCCCGCCTTTGAAACTGTCCGTGAAATGGAACATGAAGCACGACAGGGTGCACAGCCCCAGGAGTACGTTTATCATCATCGTGTTCACCGCCGTGCACTCCCCTTTCCCGGATGCCGACGGCAGCAGCATTTCGAACGTCAGCAGGGTGCCTGTGGGTAGGAAGTTCACTAGCATTGAGGTTCTGGATAGCGTTTTTTGCATCCCTTTTGCCACTGCTCGTCGTTTCCGCCCTCCGCTCGGGTGCCCTGCCGCCACGGCGGAGTCTAGTTGCGGGCTGGAGGAGGAGGGCTCGTTTGGTGGTGTGGCGGTGTAGATTCTAATTCCAACATCTTCATCTGTGCTTATGTGGTGTTCATCCATTTCCATTTTGGAATTTGTTAGAGATTGATGGGTTTGTTCCCATATTTTGGGGAGTTTTATATGAGATTTTTGGAGTAACCGACTCTGGAACGGTTTGAAATTCAAATTTTGTTGGAAAGGACAACCGCCAAATCATGAACTCTTGTGACTACTCACAGAGGCTATTACAATAGTGACGGCTCAATCACAAGAACTTCAAAATTAAGTATGCTTAGTTTTGAGTAATTTTAGGAGTAAAAAGTATTGTTCATGTGAAAAATCGTAAGTAATTAATTTGTTAATAGGAAATGTCAAGTCCATTAGGTGTTGAATCTGAATTTTCAATCTTAATCTAACCAGATATTGTTTTCTTTGGATTTGTATTTTACGGTTTCCCTATTACACACGTCTACTAAAGAGAGACTTCAGACTCTTAGAACTAATATTTCGTTCTTCTTTCTAACTGATGTGAAATCTACTTTTTTTAGGAGGCTCAACGTTCTTGTTGACACATAGTTCGATGTTGTAGTTTAGTAAAAGATTAATAATGGATCGAAAATTGGCAATTCAAATCACTTTTGTTATCGTTGAAGATTGACCTTTCTTATCTTCTCTATGCGCTGAAAATTCAACTATTTTATTTCTTTTGGTAAAGCAACTTCTCTCTCTCTCTTTTCCTTTTTCTTTTTCCTTGTTATTATAAACCAATGAAATAGGTGAAAATAAAGCTATAGTTTGCATTGGGAAAAGGGTATTAACCACATGAATGTGGTGTCTAAGTTCCCTAGATTTCCTCAATTTCATTCGATATCAAAACTATATAGTATAAAACTAATAATGTTTCATATTATTTAGGTTCTATCTCTAACCGATATTATATTTTTTAAATTTGGACTTTGTCCAACTGACGTGGACCTCACACATTTATTCAAATATTTTTCTAAAGTTATTCTCTTTGGTTGGTGCGACAACTCCTAAGCACCCTCTTTTTGACTCTCCTTTTCTCTTTAGACTTTGAAGATTACCATTACTTGGCCCCACCTTCGATTTCACTCGACTTTTCAATATATATATATATTTTTTTTTTTTTTATTTCTCTAAGAAAATTATCCACGTATTAATCACATAAATTAAATGGAATAGAGATATTTTTGAAGGATTCTATTTTTAATTAGAAATATTATAATATTGTTTATTTTAGTGTTATGGATGTATTATGTATGTTAAATCCTTGGAATTTAAAACCTATATTTCACTGGTTTTTATGCTATTTACTTTAGAAGGCCCCTCCAAATTTTGCTTTTCTTTTTTCTCCATCTTTAATTATTGCCTCTTAACTTTTATTTTCCCTCAATTTTTCTATTTTTTATATATGTTTTTAATACAAGTGATATAATATATTGTGTTTAAATCGAAAGCATTGTCATATCCAAAACATTTCTTATAAAAACTTGAATCCTTTTCCTAAGATGTACGTTTTAAAAAGATGATCACGAGATTCCACATCGATTAGAGAAGAGAATTAGTGGATAAAAGCGGAGGACGTCTTAAAAATCATGAGAGAAAGACGGACTAGGGATAAAAGCGGTGAATATGAGTGGATCCCCAAGGCGGGGAACCACCAAACTGTCTATGTTTTCATAAAACATTTGGCCTTACCCACTGCAAAGCAATCTCAGGAATGTCTGACTCTGACCATCTTCTCTCCCTTTTATCTCTCCGCCCTATTTCTCTCTCTCTCTCTCTCTCTCTCTCTCCTTAGCAGCAGCAGCAGCAGCCTTTGACCGTATCTCAGCCCTCCATCTCTGTCTCTCTGTCTCTCTGTCTGTCTCTGTCTCTCCTCCTTCCATTTTCCCACCTTCTTCATTCTCGTCGCTCCCCTCAGCCTCCTGTTTTTCCATAATCTTCTCCTTCCTTCCTTCCTTCCTTCCAATCCTAATCTTTTCAAACAAAACATTTCATCAATTTTCCAAATGGGTTTCCTTTCATTTCATTTCTCCGATGTTTAAAACCATTTGTTTGTAATGAATGACCATCCAAACCATACTCCAAACCCCTGCTTTTCTCTCCCTCTGCTTCTCTCTGCGTCTCTCTCTCCCTCCATCTCCATCTCCATCTCCAGCTTCGGATCCATTTCCTTTCTTTCATTCATTTTCCTCTCCCATCTCCCACTTACTCAAAACCTTCACCATTTTCACGCAAAAGGGTTACTAAATTAGAACCCCAATTACCAATTCCAAACCCCATCACACAATCGGCCAAAATCTCCAACCCTCGCCCCTTCTGGGTTCGCTTTTTCATGTCTGAACCATTGCGATTTTCATTTCCCAATTTTTACTGATTCTTCTTCTCCTTAATGGGAAATGTAACCGGCAGTGTCGCTGCGAAATTTGCCTTCTTCCCTCCTGACCCTGCCACCTATGACGTTTACAGAGGCGAGGATGGACGCCTCGCCTTCTCCGGCGTCTCCGCCGATAGCAACATGAACGTTCATTTGCTTGATACCAAGGCCGGGAACAGGATCGTCGCTACCTTCTGGAAACACCCTTTTGCCCGATTTACGCTTCTTTATTCCCATGGGAATGCCGCTGACCTCGGTCAGATGCATGAGCTCTTCATTGAGCTCAGAGCTCATCTCCGCGTCAACATTATGAGGTACCCCTTTTTTGGTTTTGACATTTTTTCATCATTTCTGATTGCTTTGATTCCTTTATCTGGCGTTGTTTTGTTGTTTGGTTTGGTTTGGTTTGTGTAATTTGTCACAAATTTGAAATTCCTATCCTCAATCTTTTTGTTACCAATAGCTTGGCTTTGTCTTGTTATATGTTGGAGTCTATTCATGTCACTTCGTATTGTGAGTTGATTTCAGCCAAAAAGCTAAAGAAAGGGTCGAACCAGTCACATCATTGTCGACAAAACTCTGAAATCTTCAAACATGTCTCTATGTTCATTCTGTTTTCCTCCTTCCATTTACATACGCAGCCATTACATTCCAATTCACCGTGGCATGTTACCAATAATATATTTTGTGTTGAATTTCAGCTATGACTATTCGGGGTACGGCGCATCGACCGGTAAGGTAAGCCATTCTATTCCTTTTCATTGCTTCAGAACTTTTTGGAGCTTCTCTTGCTGTGGAATTGTGGGCTCAAAAGATTTACTATGCCTCTGAACTTGTTCTGCACACTTTCTTTTGGTTGCAACTGGCTTGAAAATGATGCTTCTACGGTTTATATCACTGCGGTCCTGGGGGACACTACATTTATGCCTGTTGTTCTGTCCTTTTCCATCACTGATAAATGGTCCGTTTCTGGTTTTGATAGCCATCTGAATTCAATACATATTACGATATAGAAGCTGTTTACAACTGTTTGAAGAGTGATTATGGGATCAAGCAAGAAGAATTGATATTATATGGCCAATCTGTGGGGAGTGGACCGACGTTACACTTGGGGTCTCGATTACAAAGACTAAGAGGCGTCGTTCTCCATAGCGCCATACTTTCGGGCATCCGAGTATTGTATCCTGTCAAAATGACATTTTGGTTCGACATTTTCAAGGTGAGCTTCACTTGGTTCATATGTGTATGTCCTATTATTCGTCATCTGTGTTATACCGACTACTCGGTCACGTATTGATGTGTTGTATTTTCAGAACATAGACAAAATAAGGCTGGTGACATGTCCCGTGTTAGTCATACATGTAAGAAAGATTGTCCATTCCCTAGTTTTGTGTTGTTGGGTGATGCAGGCCTCTACTAATTTGATGAATGTGCAGGGAACAAATGATGATATTGTTGATTGGTCCCATGGAAAACGACTATGGGAGCTCGCGAAAGAAAAATACGACCCGTTATGGGTGAACGGCGGGGGACATTGTAACCTCGAGACATATCCGGAGTACATTAAGCACTTGCGCAGGTTCATCAACGCAATGGAGAAGCTCTCAGCTAAGCAAACGGCAACGAAACAACTCACTTCGACCCCGAGTATTACAGAGGAGAAACATAACAAATGCTTGAGATTTGGTAAAAAGTAATGATTTGGTTTGCCATGGTTGATGTAGGGATTCAAAACGAGATAGACAGAAGTGTTGGACATGAAGGCGCTCAGGTTTGGTTGTAGAATCCAGATTAGTATAAGTTTCTGAGACAAACTCTGTTCATAATCTTTGTTATGGAACAAAATGTAGATCTGGGTTTCACTTGTTAAATTGAAGCAAAGCATTGAGCTATGCTATGCTGTTCCAGAGAGATCATAATGGGGGCTCTTTCCTTTCCCTCTGTCGCATGATCTTGTCTTACACTGTCTTAAACAACATAAATGAGTAGAATTTTCACTTCCCTTCTCTTTTCTGGGTATTTAATACAACATTATGTATTGTATCAGCTTTGTTCTTACCCAATTCTTAGTTCTAAATTTATTTTCCGCTCACATATCATCGCTCTGCTGTGTCTAGCCCGTCCTCTAGGCATCTTTGGAAGGTTGAGAGTGTGACAGCTTACGCACTTTTTTTTATTCTATAGGGTTTAATCATTGCAGGGTTTGGTGGCCCAAAGTTAACTAGGCTTTGCCAAAAGGCCTCATCTTTATCAGCCCGGCTCGTGAGGAGTCCCTCCCCCAATGGGGTTCCAAACCTCGGCTCGTGAATTAATTTTTTTTTTAAAAAAAAAAACATGATTGTTCTTTAACTTCAAACGCGTCAATCAGCGAGAGGTTTTCACACCCTTATAATGAATGTTTCGTTCCCCACTGAGAGATCTCACAATTCACTCCATTGGGGGCCTAGCATCCTCGCGGGTACACTGCCTGGTGTCTAGCTCTTATACTATTTGTAACTACTCAAACCCGATATTGTCTGCTTTGGTCTGTTATGTATTACTGTCAGTCTCATGGTTTTTAACATGCGTCCGTTGGAGAGGGGAACAAAATATTCTTTATAAGGGTGTTTACTGAACACATTTTAAACCTTGAGAGAAAGCCGAAAGAGACAATATCTATTAATGGTGGGCTTGGTCAATTACAAATATATCAAAGCTAGACATCAGGACCAGTGATGACTCTAACTCTCAAGGGAGTGGATCAAGGACACATTGCTTATAGTCTCTCCCTAGCAAACGCGTTTTAGGACGGTGAGACATATGACGATACAAAACGGGCAAAAATGGACAATATCTACTACCGATGGGCTTGAGCGGTTACATATACAGTTTATCAAAACAAAAACTATTATTATAAACATTAACATTAGTATGATATTAAAAAAAAGTAAAGTAAAAGTTTAGGAGTTAAGGGATTGAATTAGTTTGGTCCGCAAGTATGGGGGGTTGAGAAGACAGGGTGTTAATGTGTCACGAGTAAAGGAATCAAATTTAAAAAAAAAAAAAAAAAAAAAAAAAAAAAAAAAAAAAAAAA